TTTACACGAAATCTCAGGCACAAAACCACCTGGCTCAGTAAATAATGGTCGAGTGAGAAAAAATTCAATGCAGCAGTAAACTGTTGAAAAACATGTAACATTCAACTGATTGCATATGCACGTATGTAGCTTAAAATTTACTCCATAAATTGACAAAGAAACTTAAGAAACAAGATAATTACAATTAAAAATGGGAATAGGAATAGTCAAAAAGGTACAGAAACAAGTTGAGGCAAAATGCAAATATCATATTTTCAAGCCTACAACTAGGGACCTCTATAAAAAAAAAGTAAACAAACTAGGCTGGAAATAATTACATTATTTTCTTAAGCTACAAATCCCTATTTTGACTCCACTAAATTGATAAGTACTACAGTAGACATGGAGTCAAAATAGAGATTTGTAACTTGAGAAAATAATGTAAACATCATTTCCAGCGTAGTTTGTTTATTTTTTTGGAGTCCTTGTTGTAGACATGAAATTATAATATTTGCATTTTGACTCAACTTGTTATAACAAAGTCAGATAACAAAAAACACCCAATGAAAAATTCAGTAATTTTATTCCATTGATAATTACAATAAAAAAAATATCTGATTTAGTATCGAGTGCGTATGTGTGTGGGCCGGGGCTGATCTAATAGTTAGCGTGATCAGACTGTGGATCCGAAGGTTGATGGTTCGCAACCTGTCGACACAATAAAACATTCGCACTTTTGGAGCCGTGGGTACGCTATAACAGTGACAGTCAAATCTCATTATTCGATCGAACAATAGTACGTGGCTTACGCGACTCATGCTGTTGACTAGCTGCTTTTCCTCTAGTTTACCGATTCAAAATTAGGGACAGCTACGCGCGAAATTTCCTATACAAAACCATATATATGGTTATTTTATTTTTTACAATTACGAAGGTTATTTTGCGTTGTTAGCATTACATATAATGATATAGACTTAGGACTAAATTTCCTACGATACCGAATCTGACGAATCAATCAATGTATTCTACTCATTTTAAGTTTTCGTCTTCCTCCGATTTGCTTCATGGCATTACATATTCTTAATTAGGCTAGTATAGAAGAGTAGCTAAAATACTTACTATGTTATCATTCTAATCTGTGCAATTAGTTTGCTTAAATCAGATATTACCGATAGCTAAAAAAAGAAAAAAAACTAATTTGATCAAAGTTTCTGTGTGATCCTTCTGGGGTTGAACCGTATATACAGTATACTACGATCAACTTCTTTTCAGTACTGACCCGATCAACGGGTTAGTTGGCAGAACATAGTACAAAAAAAGAAGTGTTTACTCCGAGTGGATGTACACAGATTAGTTCACAAAGAGAGAGATAGAGGGAAAAAAAAGAATTAAGCACAGTATTTTTCTGGTTAACCACAATGAGTGTGTGAAGTGATAAATATAGTGCGTGTATCCTTCAAGTGTCAGTTAAGAAATTAAAGAAACGTGTCACACGCATCACCATCAGTGTCACCAACCAGAAATAGTCGCACTCCAGTATCACCAACCTGCAACAGTCGCATAAAAAGCTAATGTGGATTGTGGTGAACCAAACTGGGCATAATGTCGGGCCACGCTGGGCATTAAGGGAAGCATATCGTCTTACTAACGACACGTGTAATACATTAATTCATGTTTTCCCCAGTAGAAATTGTATACAGAAGTAACCAAAGTTAATAAGAAACCTTTAGCCCTGTTATTTCCAAAATTTATATAAAAACAAACAAACATCGATAGTAGACGAAAATAGAGAAAAATTCGCTTCGCAACAACACTAAAAACGCGGACGGAAGGTGGACGTAAATCGATCCTGCATGCGATTATGTGTAAAAACCTATGACCAAGGCCTCCATTTAGATTTCAGTTTTCAAGCAATCTTTTTATTCGACTTCAATCTTAAACTATTTTTTCTTATGATTATAATTGATAAAGGCTGAAATCCAAGGTGCTGTCAAGAATCAAGATGGCCCTATTTCCTACATTATATTTGGCTCAATAAAGAAATAAATTCTTCTGCCAAAGAAGTGAATATTGAGTTCGAGCGGACTCAAACCCCTAATTATGCCTATTAAATCACTTTGCTTCGAAAACCTATCACTTCACTGGTTAATAAGAGCAGAATTTAGAAGTGTTCTTGAACTATTCCGATTGATATAGCTCAGGAGTCTTGTCAAGTTCCATTCTTAAATACAATTATATTGTTATAACGTAGTCTACCGTTGGGTGGACTCTTGGATTATATGGTAAAAATAAGGCCAAGTCCAGTTCACATAAGGATAACAGATTAGTTTCTTTAATGTTTCCTACAGGATACTTTCGCAACATTTTCATCACATTTTTTTCTCCTAACAGACTGATTAACACACTACAAACACCGAATATACTTACTTATACTAACTTTAAATTCTCATTCACTATTCATATGAATACTTCACCGAGCTCTAAATTACTGAACAAATTGAATTAACCGCTTACTTCGTACATGTATTAATGAACTATATCTAGATCTTAATCGAATATATCTTATTCTCCTGCGTTCTCTCTCTAATATTTAAATTAAAACATAGAAAATATAGCTTATAATAATATTAAACGAAAGCAGGAGATTATAGTATCTTAATAAAGTAGTTCAGTTCGCTAAAGCATCTATCCAGTGGGCGAAATCGCAGGTTCGAGTCCGTTCAGGTTCGTGTGTGCGTCCTCATATAGAAAAGCCACATCGGGTTATCTGCTGTGTCCACCGAGGGGAATCGAACCTTCTAGCGTTGTATATACGAAGATTTACAGCTGGCCCACCGGAAAATTTTCCAACTTGATAGGACAGAAAGCAACATCTGAATTTTTTTGTTACTAAAATAAACGCTGTAACTTAGGTGTTAACACAAGTGTACTCTTTGGGATCGTATGATAAGAGTATTTGCCGATAGTTGAATGAACAAATCAAAACTAACAGCAAAAGAGAAATTAAATCTTATTACAAGTTATGAAATAAAAAGAACTTAAATATTTCTCTGTGAAACCACAAGTATTTTGAGAAACAAACATTAATAAAAGACTCTCGTACACGAGAAAACAAATGCATCCTTTCCAGCTGCTGCTGTAATACTAAATATGTAAAATCCCTAATTCTTACAATTATTACTAACGTCAATATATATCAACTAAATCGTTGAATACTGACTCCCACAATAGTTTCAGTTATCGTTAAAACAAGTTATTCAAGGCACACAAAGCCAGTAATAAACTTCAATTAAGTAACTGAATTCTGCTCCAATATTCTTATATTACCTATCAAATAGAAATCAAGAAACAACCACTATCAATTGTATACAACAATCCAAGTAACTAACTATAAACAACTTCTCACACATTTCTCCCCCTAGCTAAGTATAGTGACTGTAGATCCATCAAAAGGTAGGAACAGACTCGCATGTTATCTGTTTACTAATACACCATCCAGAGCTGTGTATTTAGAGAATAATAATAATAAAAGTCCTAGAAGTATAAAATTTAAATTGTGACACTTGTTTCCTCGCGTTTAGGTGTTTACATTTTGGTGTTAATGAACGTATTACATGTTTTTGTTTTACTTTAAGTGTATTAATATTATAAAAGTATTACAATTTTCAATTTCAGTTTCTTAGTGTTCCGAAATTTGTGGGCATACGTTGTATTTGTAGCCACCTCCCCCCCCCCCATTCAAAATTTCCAATATAGACATTGCTTAAATCACAATTGTTACGGTAATTTGGTGTGGTAACACCCGCGGTTTGTTAGCTGCAGTACCACTGTAGTGTAGTTTTAATTGTTTCAGACGTCGCTAGTCTTAAACGTTAAATACAAAAGTATACCAAGATAATATTTTTGATTTTACATTTGGTATATTTTATAATAACAATAAGCCAAATCAGCGTTTCTAAACTAATGGGTCACGGCACAAAACCAGGCTGTCAGAATATGGGAAAGGACTGCAAACAGACATTGATAATTAATTGTAGTTTATTTATTTATTCAGTAAACCACGTGTTTTGGGTTTGTTTGTTTTTCTCGCACTAAGGATATTTACTGGGTCACAACTGGCCAACAATATTTTAAAATGTGTCCCTAACCAAAAAAAGTTGAGAACCACTAGGCCATGTGATACCGGTTTCTACTTGCCACCAGATTAGGTTCGTTCTGTCTTTATCATGGCATACTAAAACAATCAGAACACCCATTTATCAACAAGAGTATTTAAAAAACATAAGAGATGGCAAATTACGATTAATAACAAACTAAAATAGCCGTTATTTTTTGCTTGAATATTTCAAATAACCCTTGTAAGGACAACATACATAACTGGGGAGGGGGTGGATATTATACTATTCTGATAAATTCTTAACATAAGCACAGCATCAGTAGTAACACGACCAGTAATAACATATGGCACAAGATACAGTGTGGTCCTTCAAGTTCAAGGCTATACAAACCCCCCTCGAGAAAAGTGAAAATTTAAACCCACCCTGTAATTTTCAGGATATCATCTATTTATATAATAAACTCTTTTAAACTACAGTACCGACCTCCACTACTGCCGATGGCAACTCATTCAATAAGCAATACACCCTGTTAGAAAAATAAAGTCGTAACTGGAGCCAAGCCTGTCTTTGTACGCATAGCTCATACTTCTCTAGTTTCAAGTTGGCCTTTTCTGGTTATATTATTATTACGCAGTCGCTCATTAACACTAGTTTACAAATAAAAAAAGTGATCAAGCACAAAGTAATTTTGATAACTTTCAATTTCATAAAATAAAACTTACGAACGATTTAAGTCTAAGATCGCAACACACACACACACACACACACACAATACAACCGACCAATTACCGAACAAGGCAAATAGCACGTTTTCGAATTCACTTGTCCTACATTAATAACTGCCTAACAGGCGTATTGTACTTCAAGGTTTGACGTACAAAAAAAAAAAAAAAAAATGCATACCTGTTTTGCTGAAGCAAAGGATTCCAACAGTCAGATTCCACAGCAATATGGCAAACAAACGCATTCTTAACGTGACACATAAAATTGTCACAATATATATTCGAAGTTACAAGGCAGCTTCTTACATTCACGCTTCTGTAATATCTATTGATTCCTCATAACGCGGATACTGGTCGCATAGCTTCACTTTTGTAGCTGCGTCCTTCTCTTCTCGATTTCTTCTCTTACAGTAATCCCAACTACCAACGGTCGAAAGATTACTTTCAGCTACAGTTCTACATCATCATCGGTTCACAACCCGGCAGTTATCACTGTGTAGTCGGCTGTACTTTAGCCTCGAACCATAAACACACAACTATGTTAGATAATTTTTTTTTCATATTTGCAAAATATTTATTATGTACTTTAAAGTTTAAAGTTTCAATTTTTTTTTTTAAAGTTTGAAACGCCTATATAAGCTTTTCTTTTCCACTTACGAAATTCCTAATAGTAGTTGAAAATAATAGTAAGTATAGATGGCACCACACTACAACAGACAATTAAATAGCATAAGGGATCGTTTATAAATATTAAAAGTGTTGGTTTTGGCGTCTCCCTCAACTTTGTTTGTTATTATTGGAAGGGGGCACGCAAGTTATTCACTTTTGTTATTACTTAATCAACATTGCAAATATTCTTTTCCCCTCTGTTTAAAACCATTAATGAATAAATTTTAAAATTAAAATATACAATTTTGTACATCGTTTTTAAAACTCCTACTCACCCTAAAACATAAGATACATTTCTGTCTCTTTTATAACTTGTTTATACATTACGCATATTATTATTATTATATCGATTATTTGAATCCTTGAGCACAATATTCTTATGTAAATTTATTTCCTTAGTGATTACTAGTAACAGCAATAGATTATGGAAATGCAAAAAGGCTATGCAGAGATAATTGATTTTTCTACCTAACTGGAATGAAGGAATAGACTGGACACAAGTTGATGGTGAAAAACAAGTAATGATCTATCAAAGAGAAGACAAACATCACAATTCAGTAGGTCACGTTTACATGAAAAAAATCGGCAGTGCTTCTCTCTCTGCAGAGTAAAGAGAGATCTTTACCAGCAGAAATCTTCGGAAAATCTGACTAAGAGACATACAGAAAACATAATAGTTTTATCTCTCCCAGTTAGCATGTGCAAACCACGTCATTATTGGTCATCCCAAATCTCTACATTGTTGATCTCAACGTCTTTCGTGGGAGAAGCCCCCCAGTAGCACAGCGTTATGTCTGCGGACTTACAACGCTAGAAACCGGGTTTCGATACCCGTGGTGGGCAGAGCACAGATAGCCCATTGTGTAAGTTTGAGCTTAACTTCAAACAAACAATTCATAAAAGAAATCCAGCAACGACAAAGGAAAATGACCCAGGACAATGTGTAACAGCAAATTAGTCACATTCCAAAACCATTTTTCTACTGTTAAACCTATACACGTACCTGTACATATCTATGTATGTATGTGTGAAATATTTCATGTTCATCTAAAAGGGAGAGATATACCAGATACGTTTCACACGCTACATTTATTCTTTCAATAAACAAATATCTATCAATACAAAACAACAAAAATACCCTTTAACAAACACTAGCAAACCCACAATTAACCTGTACAATACATAAGGAAAACCCTTTAACAAAGATAAAATAACAGCACAAATGGTAGGCGAGACTTGCTTTATGTTATTCTATTAAACATACATGAAAAATACATTTAGTTGTACACGTATATCAAATCACAACTTCAAGGCGATATATATATATGAATATATATTAAAACATGTTATAAAATAATGTAGGACATTTATAATTTTACAATATCATAACTATTAAGGATAAGCACATTAAGACACCTCACATACCTTTAAGTTTTATTATGGGTGTAATTCCACGCGGTGGATATCGCGCAGATAGCCAGTTATATATATTTATGCACCTCAAAAACTACAAATAATAGTAGTTTTATCAACCATATTTCAAATGACATGTTTTGTCCAAGTACTCACCTTTTTGTTTTACCTGTTTGTTTCAACACAACTCTTCAGTCTAACCCGCCACCCTCAGGTTACAAGTCGAACACCGCCTTAACCACCTGGTCATGCCGGGCCCAACAAAGATAATGAAGAAACTATTGACTGTAGTTGTAGAAAAGAATATTTTCCAGGAAGAGCATAAGACATTATTTATTATCACGCTTACGTTCACTTTAGTTCCTGATTCAAGCGTAAATATAGCAACGGTGTAACTTATGCCCTCAGGTCATACCATCACAGTATTACTAGTGCTGTTCAAATTGAAACTTGCACAAAAATGAGTTACAAGAAAATGTTCAATAAAACTGATCACTCATAAAATATTTCAATTAAACAGAATTAAACACATTATATTTAAACTAATGAAAATATCGGTCATGCTATTCTTGTCTTTGGTAGGACAAATAAGCTACTAGCAGTACGTACACTTTCCATAGATAATTTCACTTTGCTTATGAATAGTTATATTCTATAAAATTTAACATATTCTTTACTAAGATTAATGAAAGTATCGGGTAACACGAGGCTTTGTCTTGATGTAGTTTAAGCGAACTGATTATTTTTATCTTATAAATAGAAACTTTCGAGCTCTGCTTATTTCGGTTTTAAAACTATGCATTTTCTCTCATTTGATGTGGTACAAGCCAGTATTCGTAGTTTACTTCGTTTCTCAACTTCTTAACATTCTGATTAAATTCTTCCTTTATTGTCTGATCATCGAGCTCTGTGATTTTATTCATATTTATAATAAAACATATATAAGCATTCGTATGTAATGTCTGTATAGCTGTGCAACATTGTACACATATAATAATAATAATTATATATATATATATATATAGGGGAAAGTAAGGTAAGACGGTCCTCTTGGGTAAAACGGGCACCCCTAGGTCTATCATCTGTTATGATATACCGCCATCTAGGGTAACTTACACGAATCTATTGTTCACGTGACCTCCGTGCATAAACACACTGGCGGATGAGCGCAAATGTGAAAGCTCAAAGTTCATATATTTTTTTTAACAACTTTGATCTAAAGTAAGTCAGTACTTTGAATTTTTATGGATACAAAGTAGGTAGTTCATTGGATCTTATTTTGTTGATTTCTAACAATAAGGAGTTATAGACAAATGAATATGCCGTAAAAGAAACGCACTTTAAGTTCACGTTGATTTTTTTTATAGCGTGCAATTGCTTTAAAATGAGTGGCTTAGGGTAAAACACTTCTCCTCATGGGTAGCCTTACCCTACACTAATGACGTTTATTTCTGTAAATAGGCTTCGATCACAGCATACGTCATTACCCATCACTAATACCCATGTTTATTTGTGTCAATTCGCAACTTGCGCATGGCGCATGCACTTCCCGATGCCTGCTGGAAGCATTTAAATATTGATTTAAGTGGCTTTAATGCAGTTATTGAATTAAGAATTCATTTTAAATTGTAGTTATGAGTTTTAATCCATATTGATGGTCAGTTTTATCCAATTTTGTAGGTAAAACGGCTCCCTACCATAAGAAGTGCATTTTTAAATACCTAAAAAATGTCTATCTCCATTCTTTGTTTTAACTAGAATTTGTTTGTTCGGTTAGTTAGTTTAGAGCAAAGCCACACTGGGCTATTTGCTGTGTCCACCGCGGGGAATCGAATCCCAAATTTTAGGTTTGTAAGTCCATAGACTTACCGATGTCTTACGAATAACATTTGTAATAAAACAATATTAATTTAAAACTTATTACTTTTTCATTGTCTTTATCTTAAGTTTTGAAAAACAAATTCAAAATTAAGGTGGTCATCTTATCCCATCTTTCCCTACAATATAGTACAGTCGATCATCAGAATTTCAAACAGTCAGGCATTTCCGAAATTATTCGAGACATAAGAGGATCGAAATAGCCAGTCTTGATCTTTGACCTAAGCTGAACCTAAACCATTATGTGTATAGAATATTAGCTGTAATAAATGTTAAAGGAGATGGAAGAGATTAAAATTGGTCTTCAGTATCAGCCTTGTATTTACTATATCCAAGTTTCACATACCAGTATTTCACTGAATATATTTATAGCATCTGACAGACTGTCCAATGACTCTTAGAAATCATAGAAATAAAATCTGCTCCTTTCACTCCTTTCTTAATAACCCTTACTGCAATGCCAGTTATAGCCCCATAGATTCAACTCTCTTGGCATCACAAAATAAATAGTCACAGACAAAATTTAGTTAAAATGAGAATTTTCAACTAAAATTCACACAACTCGGATAAAGTATTCGGGCGCTCGACTCGCAATCTGCGGGTCGCCGATTTGAATCCCCGTCTCATCGAACATGCTCGCCTTTTCGGCCGTAGGGGAGTTATAATGTAACGGTCAATCCCACTATTCGTTGTTAAAAGAGTAGCCCAAGAGTTGGCAGTGAGTGGTGTTGACGAGCTGCCTTCCCTCTAGTATATCGCTGCTAAATTAAGGACGGCTAGCGCAGATAACCCTCGTATAGCTTTGCGTGAAATTCCAAAGAAATAAAACCAAAATATTCGAGCTGCCCATTACAGTATATGTTGATATTCAATCAGACCGACGAAGGTTATGTACGATATTGAGCTGTGAAGTAATTTCAGTCCTAAAGAAGTACAACTCTAGCAGCTGAACAATATTCTTCTGTTATATAAGATCCTGTAACGTTCAAGCAGATATAAATTAGCACAAAATATTATCAGAAACGAACGCCCAAATAAACTATACACCTGGAAAAAAGTTAAGCACCCCCGTGTTTTTTTCAAGTGATTCAGATTCGACGTTCTTGTGACTGAT